CTGAGATGTTTCAGGTTTGCTTTCGGATTTTGCTGCACCTTTTAAGCCAAAAGTTGGCTTATCTTCTTTGTGAAATTGTGGTCGGGGATTAGAAGAGTTGGAACCAAACCTTTGATGTAGTTTTCCTCTTCTTTTGATTTGGTTCTCGAACTTGATCGCAAAATGTAGCAGATCCTCCATCTCAATGTAGTGTTGAGTCTCTACACGATCCTGGATCTCTTGATTCAACCCACCAATAAATCTCTCCATTGTCGCTTCATAATCTTCTTCAATGTTGGCCCGAATCATCAACATTTCAATCTCTTTGTAATATTCTTCAACACTTCTATTCCCTTGCACCAACCTTCGTAACTTTTGATGCACTTCTCGATGGTAATGATTGGCTACGAACCGCCTCTTCATGACTATTTTCATGTCACCCCAAGTGGTGATGGGATTCTCACTACATCTCCGCCGTGAAAGAACCAATTGATCCCACCACATTAATGCGTAGTCACTGAACTTTGCCGCTGCGAGTTTAACTTTCTTCAACTCGGAATAATGATGGCAATCAAATACCATCTCAGTCTTTCTCTCCCATTCCAAATATGTTTCCGCATCGTTTCGGCCGTGAAATGTAGGAATTTCCATCTTGATGTTACTGAGATCATCATCAAGATATTCTCGTGGACGAGGTTCACGCCTTTGCCTCCTAGGATTCTCACGTACTTCTTCTACTTCCGACAATTGTTCTCCCCCGTCACTAGGATCACTATGATGTGACCTAGCTCTTCTGGGACCACCTTGTTGTTGTCGGTGTCTTGCAGCATATGCCTCATTCTCCATCCGATCCACTCTTTGATGCAATGGTTCTATCTCAGCCCTCAACATCCTTCGTAGCTCACCCATTAGCGCTTGCATTTGAAGTGGGTTTGCTCCTTCGGGTTGCTGCTCATTTTGTATGTCTTCCATGTTGAAACTCTGCAAAAAATGTTAAGAAACAAAAAAGAACAGAAAGAGACAAGGAAAAAGAAGATGACAGAAATCTCACCACACTCAGAAAGTGTTTCACTCAATTTTCTTCACTCCACCTCACTTGTTTTCTCTTCCAAAGTCCTTGTTCAAACTATTAGCAAACTAAATCAAATTCAAAACGATAGCAATTCACCGAAAACTTATCAAACCAGTCTATCCAGAAGCAAAAGAATTTCAACTCAAAAAGCGAGCTATGACTATGACTCAAAGTGATCAATTTGAGTTTCCGATGATGAATGGAAATGGAAACACAAAAATGAAGTTACAACTCCGACTCAGAAACTTGATCAAAAGACTTTTTTTTAGAGATTTTTTTGTGGTATTCTCAAACGACCAATCGTTTTTTGTTATATATCTTTTTTTTATTTTTTTTTCTTTCTTTTTTTTCTTTTCTTTTCTTTTTTTTTCTTTTCTTTTTTTTTTTGCCTTCTTTCTTTTTTGTTGGTTTTCTGCAATGAACACAATGAAAATGTTAATTTTTTTATAAAAGATATCAAAGTAGAACGTAAAAAGAAAATAGGGAAAGATAATCCAAACTAGAGAATCAAGCTCTGATACCAAATGATACGATCTCGGATCGAAATTCTCTAGAAAGGCGGTGGAAATAACCAAAACCCCTAATCAACTCGTGAAAGAAACCTAGGTCCAATTTCTTGAAACAAGAAACGTCCTAAACCCCTAAACAAACCTGGATTAAAAACGTTGGTGTTGCGAAGACGCCATAAATATTTATGGACTAACGTTTGATAAGTCGAAGATGAATGCCACGGATGAATCCGATAAGTTCAGAAAATAGTTCTCAAAGAACTTTGAAGAGAAAACCT